AAGAGGAAAAAGGAAGGAGCAAAGAAGAGAGGTAGCATATTGTTATAAGCATATGGGATGAAAATGGTATAAAAAATGTGCCTCGGGAAGTTCTGGGCATGGAGAGGACAGGTGGCCTCATACTGTCTTCCTACGCTCTGATAAATGACATCTGTACTCAAGAAGCTCTTGCCAGGTCCTTAGGATGTAAGCACATGCAACAACTAAATTTCCACTGCTGATGTTAATCCTGGGTGCAGCCACCCCACTGCAGGGTTCAAGACAGAGCTGCTCAAAATGAAAGCAGCCTGGTAGAGCTTTGAATCAGTGAGGTAATGTGGGGAAAAACCATAACAGCTTACCTCAAATTCAGAACAGCACTACTTTTTGGGCAATCCTTTTTTTTTCCTGTTCGGAAATTGTGACTTGACTGCATGCCATTAACTTACCCTGTCGTTTGTGAGAGTTGTTAGGTGTCTGGGAATAAGTCTGAAGGAAAAAGCACTGATTTGAACATGATGTCTTGGATAATGAATGGCACATGCACCAACATGAGGTTTCAAGGCTTTTTTCATAAACAGCTTTTTCTGTAATGCTGGAGATCACTTGTTCCCTATAACCAGATCCAATGCAATGATTGAGAGGTGAAAAAAAGCAAAAGGAGTAACAAAAGGAGAATGTTACCCACTCTGTTATGGCCCTGTAATATTGTAAACCAGTAATGGGAAAGCAGGACAGGAGAAGGATGAAGTATTGGGACTGGCAAATATTCTCAGGCAATTGTCATTTAGGGATTAAAATCTGCTGTCCAAGTAGGGCAGCCTACTTCAATGCACTTCTTTTGCGTGGAGGTAAGATTCAGCCACCTCCTCTGCTATCAAGAATAGGAGAAACATCACCACTTCTACCTCACACAAAAGGCTGCAGTTTTGCAGATGAGCACTCTTGCTACTTACAGAGAAAATAGTGCAAACACAGCCCAGGTGAGCTGATACAGGTGGAGATTAGAAAACACTGATTCAATCCCAAAACAGATACCTGAATTTATACTGGCATAGGAATGGAATACAAACAGAAAATGTGGTAAAGGTAAATTTTACAAAAACTGCAACATGCTTGGTACCCCACATATTTGTAAATCTGCTAAAAGAAATTATATTGTGCTTAATTACTGGAACCACAGGTTCTAATAATGCACCATGAAAAAACATAATACTAGTCCAGCTCATAGGTAGAATACAAATCATATTAAACTATATCAGAAACACTGAATTATTTCCTAGCTGCTAAGTGAAAGGAGCAGAGGAAGGTGAATTACCAGCTTTCCAACAGCAAAGCAGGCGGGTGACAAGCCTCTTTTACCTTGCATGACATGAAGCACTGTGTTGCTACATGGTTTTGTTATCTCAAATGCTTTACAATCTGCTACAAGCTTGTGTCTTTTCCCACAGGGCCAGCCTGTGCTTCATTTATGACTCAGCTGAAACAGCACAAAGTGTATCTAAGTAGTTCCCTACTGATTGCCTAGGTGAATAATATCAGTGGTGTAAAAAGTACTACTTACTTTTACTGTTATTTCTAAGACATCCTGGTTAAATTGTCCCCCACATCTCCCTAAGTGTGGAATACTTAATGTTACAAATCACAGAAATCTTTCTTCAAAATGCCTACTTCTGGTTTGAGTCTTTCTGAAGTTCTGTTACCATAAAAGTGAAGACTGCCCAGAGGAGCAGGTAAGCAGGCTCCATCAAAGCCCTCTTCCTGCTTGAAAGTCATCCCTGAAATGTACAGATGAAAGCAACTTGAAAGTAATCACAGTGTTGATGTGCAGAGACTGTTCCTCACTGTGTTGACCAACACTAATTAATTATCTCTTTGTGATTCAACTACCTGCATCCATAAGCTGCCAATGGCCTTTATATTTCTCTATTATGCACTTTGGGTATAAGTCTATTCTGTGTTTGTAAAATGCCTAACACAATTGCCTCTTATATAGGATTAGGGATCCCCTAACGGTAACTGAAAACTGTAATTGAAAAGGTAATTGAAAATATGAGCAAAAAAAAACTTATTGCATTTGCTAGATTAAGGAAGAGCACACCAATGAGCAAAACATCCTATTGAGATGAAGCACACCTCCTGCTAAAGAACAAAGGAAAACATGGGTTATGCACATTAGAATTCAGAAAAGGAAAAGAATGTTAGAATTAATTTAGCACTTACCTTCTATGAAATCACACTGCTGAACCTTTCAAAGCCTCATAATGCCTCACAACCTAGCATCTAGCAAGCAGGTTTTCTTGGACTATTTATTCTGCTCAATGAATAGAAAAGGGAAAAGGCCCACAGTCATTGCAGCAACAGCCGGAGCTGCCGGAGCGGCATGGGAAACGAGTGGCCCATTTTCCTAGAGAAATTAACTCAGATGTGCTCTGCAAACTTCAGCATTCTGTCCCAAAGTAACTGCTATACAAAACACCAACGATAGACAATTGAAGAGCATTCTTTGGTTACCCAAAGCCGGATCGCAATGGCAAAGAACAAAAGGACTGAGATGCTGCCTTAGACCAAAGGCTGACACAGCACACCAGAGAAGCCTTTAAACTGGTAAATGTCTCTCACAAAAACTGCCTGAGGAAAACAAAATAGAAATTAAATAATGCCTGTACAGAATGCTTCTTCCATTGCCACAAAGCAGCCCAAGATACTCACTTCTGACCTGGGAGAGCCTTCTCCCACAGCTTCAGCATTCCCATGGGCCTCAGCACTGGTTTGCTCAGCTGCTGTCCTTGCAGGGAGCAGTGAAGGCATCTACCAATTCACCTGCCAGAGCTTTCCTATCCTTTCCTTGGGCATATCTGTGTAAAACCTTTGTACAGAGGAGCTTATCCAGAACTTCACAAGACAGGATTATTCATTTATTAAATGTTGAAATCAGATCCTCGTTGGCTCCAGAGAATAAGACCTCTGCAAAACCAAATGAACCTGTAATGCTCCCAGCTCAGATAAGCTCCACTTCATTAGAACAGGAACTTCAAATGAAGCAGCTAGATAATAGAGACTCTTCACCTTTTAACTTTATAGCTTATTTGGTATTAACTTAGATTCTGATGGCACCATGGATTACACTGGTTCTGTATTACAAGAGGAGCCATTTTCTGAATCTGTCTTTTTCCTGCATAAATTAAAATGGTTAATCATGGTGTGGTTTTTTTTTTTTAATATCTGTTTCCCAGTAATCTTTTCTTCAAATGCATTATGCACTCTCTGTCTTCCAGCCTCCAACACAAAAGCACTTGTATTTTGCTTAACTTCTTTTACATCAATGTTACTGTTTCTCTCTCACTGTCTGACCAAAGTGACCACACAAACACCACAAAATGCAAAGTTAAATACTGCTACTTGTGAAGTCATAACAATATAATTTGCTTTGGAAGCAGAAAAGAAGAAGAAAGAGACAGCCCTGTCTCCTGAACTTTTATGTCTGTACTGGAATGATAAACATCCTTGTACTGACAAATCAACAGTGATGAAATGCAACTGTAATCCTCACATATTCATATGGACAGCCTCGGTCAGGTCAGCAAGACACTGAGGTGACAACATTCAGCATAGCAAACTGTAGCTGCCATACAACTAAACATTACAAGTGCAAACTGCTAACATGATAAAAATGAAGAATTACAAACTTAGTGTTACCTTTATTTGTAAAACGCATAGCAGCCACACTAAAATTGTAAGGGACAAAACCTGATGGGATATAACTGACTTTCTCAAGCCTTGTCTTCTGAATGTAATTGCCAAATAAACATGCTTACTAGGCAGCCCCAAATGATCAGCCAAAAGTGTGATTTGAGAGGAAGGGCACACAACTGCGCTAACCTGGCAAATTCCAAAAATGCAAAAAAAGTTATTTGGCTGGATTCTACCTCTCAATCATTTCACAAATTCTGTCTTCCAGTGGGAAGCCAGAAATGTATGTAAACAACAAAGTTTAGGAAAAAGCTGCATTGAACTCTTTTTCTCAGATGTATGCACACAAACAGAGCAGATGGGGAAAAGGCAGCAAGCTCCCTGCTAGTCACATCAGCTCAGGAGCCAGACATTACGAACACTGTCTGATCCAGCCCTTGCTGAAATCAATAAAAGCCCTCCATTGAAGATCATGGGAGATGGAAAACAAACCTCCCCGTGCTTCAGCACAAATGTGTGAATGAAAAAAAACTGATGGCTTTCTTCTCCTCTGATTTTCATGGTGCATAAAGATCCAGATTATAAAATGCAATTTGTCATCTCTGAATTCTTCATTTGCTTACTTGGCATAAATAAAATTGTAGTCTATGTGTGTGCCAGGGAGACAGGTATCATCTTGCACTGTATGCAGGTGTGAGGTACAGCATGTCCTACAACTAAGAAAATGGTTTGAGTGGGAAGATAGAGGACTGAAAAAGTGCCACTTGATATTGCTTTCGCAACACCATTTTGCTTTGGTGAAAAAAGAAAGAAAAATAATCCAGATACTAAGATAAGCTGAAATTCAATTACCCTAAACACCTAGAAAGACTGTGACACTCACTAGATTATCTATTGCCTTTGAAATCAAAGAAAAGCTTCCTAGGATTTGTTCTCAAGTACTTCCTTGGCATGAGCTTGCAAAAAGCATTAAATTATTTCTACATCCCCCAGCTCTAATGTCATTCAGCAATACAGACTCATTTGGCTGCAGGACCCATTCAAATAGGCCAAGCCATATTTACGGATTTTGTTCTCATTTTGCTTTCCATTCGTATCACCTCTAATATTTATGATTTTACACATGGCTTGTATTTTAGTCATGAACATCCCATTAGCTTAATTTATATGATGCCTCTAGACATAGATCCAAGAAGAACTGGAATGGGGGCCTCACGGTGTCAATATGAACTCTCTCATAACATAAGGCTGATATTTATAAATAGTAGCAGTTAGGAAAACAAGAAGCTGAGACTCCATTACAAAGAAAGTCTGAAAGTTGTACTCACTGCTGGTAGAGGACATGCGGCTGTACTCAGACCTGCAAGACAAATAGAAAAGATCACTAAAAATGTATCAAATTTAATTCACGTTTCATATTAAATGAGATTTGAGACCATTTGTTTTTCGTTTTGTTTTTCACTAAGGTAATAACAACTGGAACAAGTTTTGAACATGGCCTCAGAAAAACAAATATTATGTATGAAATTTGAAAATATTTATTTAAAGCACTGAGGTTTTTTTTAGGAATGGAAGTGGCAAACATTCTACTGCTCTTCAGGTATAAAGATAAAATTTAGGAGGCCCTCTGAGGAAATAAATAGGCCATTTCAGAGGCAGGTTAGGAACAAAAGTCTACCTGATTTTGACTCTATTCCTCATCTTTCTTCTCAAGCTGCTGTGATGTATTTTTTGAAGACAATTCTATTTGCAAAGTAGAATTTTTATTGTTCTTTGGATACAACTGGCAGTGAACACCAAAAGAGAGAACTGTGAGCATTTAGATTATCATACAATCTTTTACAGCCTCCTTTTAGTACTGAAAGGCCAACCAGGTCTCCCGGAGCCTTCTCTTCTCTGGCTGAACAGCCCCAGCTCTTTCAGCCTGTGTTTGCAGGAGAGGAATTCCATCTCTTGGATCATTTTGGTGGCCCTCCTCTGGATGTGCTCCGACAGCTCAATGTCTCTCCTGTACTGAGGATATTTGGATGCAATACTCCAGGTGAAGCCTCACCATCACAGAGCAGAGAGGCAGGATCACCTCTCTCACCTCACCTCTCTGGACACATTATAAGGCTTTTTGCTCTGGGAAACCCTTTCCCTCTTCAATATTCTCAGCAAAATCATTGGCTAGAGGTCGTATGTCAGTGCATATAGGATTGTTCATGAAAACGTTGTAGAATCACAGATTCATAGAATGGCTTATGTTGGAAGGATTCTTAAAGATCATCCAGTTCTAACACCCAGCTGTGGTCAGGGCTGCCACCCAGCAGCTCAGGCTGCCCAGGGCCCCATCCAACCTGGCCTTGAGTGCCTCCAGGGATGGGGCCCCCACAGCTTCTCCGGGCAGCTGTGCCAGTGTCTCATCACACCCTGTCAAAAATGTATTCTGAACATCTAATCTAAATCTACCTTCTTTTATTTTAAAGACATTTCCTTCTGTCCTATCACTATCTACTTGTGTAAAAAGTTGTTCCCCCTCCTGCTTATAAGCTCCCTTAAAGTACTGGAAGGCCACAACAAGGTCTCTTTGGGGCCTTCTCTTCTCCAAGCTAAACAAGCTTAACTCCCTCAGCCTTTCTTCACAGTAGAGGTGCACCAGTGCTCTGAGCATCTTTGTAGTCCTCCTCTGGACATGCTCCAACAGCTCCACGTCTTTCCTGTGTTTGGGGCAGCAGATGTGGCCTCACGATGGCAGAGTAGAGGGGGACAATCTCCTCCCACTCCCTGCTGGCCACCTCTCTTCCAATGCAGCCCAGGATACTGTTGGCCTTCCAGGCTGCAAGAGCACACTGCTGGCTCATGTGCCACTTCTCATACACCAGTGTCAGAGCTGTTAAGTATTTCAAGCAACAGTGCAAAAAACTTTGCGTACAAATAACACCCAACTTCTGAATGCTCTGTTCTGTGCTGCTTAAAAGTCACAAACATGACCCATTTGTTTCCCAAAGATCCACAAATAATGAAGCAAAACAAATATGTCAACACTGAATACACTTAAAAAAACCCCACAAACAAATAAATTCATTTCCGAGTCCCTCCAGATGACTTCTGAGTGTTTAGATTTTGGAGCTCATTCATGGATCCTCCATTCCCTTATTCTCCAAGTGCCCCAGAATAGCCCCACAGAACGCTCTGCCACTATTACCTTCTTGCATGTTTACCCTGCAGTGCCCTGCAAACTGTTTAGGGAACCAAAACACAATTCTTGAATCCAAATCTAACTGCTGGTTTTATATAAATATTTGCAACAAGTTTGCAATATTTCTTTAAATCAAAAAAGCATGTGAGCCTTGACTCCTAAGATTTTTTTCTGGAAATTGATACCATCTAAGCATATTCTCAGGATACCTTCACAATCCAGGCTCTCAGGCATCCAAGGGAATATAAGCAATAAATCCCCAACAAGTGATTTCCCAACATAGCAGTTATCCCCAACAACTATAGCAGTTGATTTTGGTTGTGATATGAACTTATCTCTGCAGAGGAAACAAAGCGAAAACAGTCATCCCTCTATTTCACAGTCCCATGCTTAGCACTCAGTAACCTGAAGGTCAGATGCCAAGTCTGCTTGTTCAGGTGAGCAGGTGCACAAGGAACTACCCCATCCTGAAGGGCTAGTAAAAAATGACTCCCTTGAATTTTTTACAATACCCATGCACCCCCCCCGCACAGCATCTCCTTCACAAATAAAATGTTACCTCTCAACCACACTTCCCACAGACACTTGTACAGCTGGGAAAGGTGGAGGTAGAAATGGCACAGGCAGAGAGGGAGATGCTCTTTTTTCAGCTTCCAAGGGGATAAGACAATTGCAGGGGCTGGTGCTGTATGGGGCACAAAGCTGTGGGGTATTTTCAGAAGAAAATCATGTGGGTATCATTTGGCAGTGTGTATATTTGGGAAGGTGTTAAAACTGTTAATTTAACACACTTTCTTCACAAGCCCAGAGGCAAGCAATATCCATCCAGCTGCCTCCAAGCGTCCCGAGCAAGGATTCATTTAATCTGCACTTCTGTTAGTAAGCAGCCCAGGGCTGTCCCTGCATGTGTCTGTGTTCAGTAGTTCATAGCTAATTCCATATGAATCTGCGTTGCTTGTATTTCATAGAGGAGCAAGACAATGCTTCGTCTTCCGCTTACTGCAAGTGGAAGCAGCTTTCTGTTCCTTCACACTGTTTCTTTATTATCCCAAAGTGCTGCAGGCACATTATTGGGCATGGAGAATTAATGAGCCCCGAACCAAGGAGCTGGCATTCTGCATACAGGCAGGCCATGAAAAATGAGACAAGAGGAAAAATAAAAAGATGGGGAGTGTGAAGGGAGGAGACAACAGTGTGCTCAGAGACTAATTGCACAGATGCATTTTAATAGGCTTCAGAATTGTATTGGGGGCCTTCTGTAATTCTAATATGGTTCAAGCTAGTATTTAATTCATGTTTGTTGCATAACTGACATACATGGAATTAAAAAAATTAAAAAAGATAATTAAGCACAAAGGCAACCTCACATGACAAAATAAGGGCTGCACTCTCCCTTAGCTCCACCTATGGTTGATAATGAGACGTCTGAAGTGTGTCTTTCCCTTAATGTTTGTATGGAAAAGATACTGAAGGACCCCCAGCTACATGCCTAAAACCTAATGGCATGAATATGAGTCTCTCTTTGTACTCTCAAACCATACACGTTGCCTTTTGTCCTCCCTCTGACTCCATTTTTTCCCCAAATCTATTTTGTCTTGAATCTAGTCCTTGAGAGCAAAAATGACAGCGAGTAGAATTTTTAATATTTTCAGCACATTAGCACAAACCACTCAGATTCATGGTGTGTAATGGTTTAGTGACTTATAAAATAGAAAATATTTTTTTCTTATAGTAATTTTTGTAGGATACTGAATTCTAAATAGACTACAGAAATAAACAACTCCTGAGTCATGTGGACTCCATGGACACAAAGCAATTTTATCCCTCCCCATTCTTTCCATCCCTGTTATAAACATCCTGAGTCTCTGCTCCTATCAATTCCCCTGGGAGAAACTCTCCCATTTGGATAACTCAAGAGTAAAGCACTCTCTGACTTTAATGGTGAAAGACTGGAGCCATATTGCCCAGAGGTTCCCAGACAATTACATGGTCTTGCAACCAGCTATTTCCTCTGTGCTACCAATAGATATTACAGTTTAGATAAAAGGAAAGAGACATTCAGGACAGAAATCAAACAAATGGACAACTGTTACTTTTACAGGCACATAATGAGGGAAAAATGATCAAAAAGGACATTGAAACAGTAGGAGGTGCTGAAAAGGAGGGCAAAGAATCCATACCCAGCAGTCAGCCCAGCAGCAAAGAGGAGCTGTGAACATGTCAAGAGACATTAAAGTAATAATGCAGAAGCTTGAGATAAATGCAGGACTAAGATTCCCACCAAAGCTGCTGAAGCATCAGGAGTGTGTATTATCAAGGAATGTAAGACCATCCCAAGTATAAAAGATCCTAAGCAGGCCTTCGAGGTCAGACTGCATTATTCACTGATGATTATTAATGCAAAGCCTTAGAATACCCAGGAAGGGGAGACACTGAATATCAGTAGCTGCTAGCACAACCTGAAGTTTCTGAGTGTAATACATAAAAACACAGTAAGCCCGTTTATTTGGGGAAGAAGAGCTGCTGTGTTATGTCTCTGCATCACAGAAAGACATCAGCAGGGCAACAGTGGCAACATCTATGCTAATAAACAGATGTGCTCAGAAGAAGTGTGCGGGACCGAGGCCAACTGCTGTGTAAGTCTGCACTTGTGCTATTCAAGCCTCATGATATCCAGCCTAGTAAGCAGTCTTCTATCAATGGCCCCTGGCTCATGTTAACATGGTTAAATGTATCTAGAAATCCCATGGGAGAACAAGATGGCCTCATCTAAACTGATGCCATCTACCATCTAAAATATCCAAGAGTAAAGACAACCCTGACCCAGTGCTCAGGAACAATTCATATATTGTATAATAGACTAGTGTAGGTAGAACTAGAGTTTTTGAGCTGAGCAACATTTCCACAAGGCAGTTTACTGTGACAGATGAACATACCACTCAAGCTATTTTAACAAATGAACACACCTCTCTAGTTATTTTAACACTATGCTTTGCCCAAGGTCTCCACTGCCAAGAGTCCTAAATCTTCAGAAAAAAAAACCACCAAAAACCACCACCCTGTAAAGTTTAGTAGCTCCTCTGTTGTCTACATCCTTAGCTTGCCTACAACTCATGGTATGGTGCCTGCTGTAGTCACATTTTTCCCTGCCTTCCTTACCTACAGTTGTTTCAAATTTC